GCAGAAAAACAAATTTTTCCCTCTTCTTTTTCATTGGAAAAACGACGTAAAAATAAACCTGGAAACGACCGGTAATGTGAGTGATTAACATGGGGACTATGAATATTCAGGGTCCACTTCTCTGGCTCGCTTATCGTCCAGTATAACTGTTAAGACTGAGAGCCAGAGTCGATTGGCAATTCCGCTACGACTTGTATTTTTTTTCTCGAACTTCTCTCTTCAACTACATCATTCACTTCGATTAAGCATTACCGAGAACTCATAGTGTCACTTTAGCATCAAAGAGCGCCTGTTTGTCTGGCAATTCGGTCACTCGAAGGGGGCAAGTATCAATACGGAAATGAATTTTTCAATTGAGATCGATGAAGCTGATCGACTCGAATTCACGATTTTTCGAAGGACGTTTGAGTGAAAGTATCGGGCGTGAGATAGCCATCGGGGTCGTTTGGTAATGAATTCCGGAGTGTTATTATATCGTTTGAAAGAGGAAAATTTGGGATGCAACCGAAAGAACTGGGCGTTTGAATGAAAAAAAAACGTAAATTACTTAAATTTTATTAAAACCCAACTAAACCCTCACTAAACTCCGGCTAAATCACGACTAAACCCGGACTAAACTCCGACTAAACCCTGACTAAACTCCAGCTAACTCACGACTAAACCGCGACTAAACCTTGACTAAACTCCGATTAAATCCCGACTAAACTCTGATTAAACTCCGACTAAACCCCGACTAAACCTCGACTAAACGTCGATTGAATCTCGATTAAAACCCGATTAAACTCTGATTAAACTCCGATTAAATTCCGACTAAACCCTGACTAAACCCCGATTAAATCCCGATTAACCCCTAATTAAACTCTGACTAAACTCCGTCTAAACTTCGACTAACCCCTAGTTAAACTCCAACAAAAATATTATGGAACTGTTAAGCTAAACCTGACTAAACTGCCAACAAAAATATTATTGAAATGTTGAAAAAAATAAAAACCTTTATTCATTAAAATAATATCAATAATTCGGTTAGACCTGCTGTCCCGTATTTCCTATTTTGCATTGATGTCCTGGGACAAACGTCTTTCCCCCTGTCTAACAAAACCTCAATATTTCAACGAGAAAATAGAAAACTCATCGGGACGTTCACCTCACGTCTCGAAAAAAATTAATTCCCGTGGAAAAAAAATTCAAACCAATTCCCATCGTCTATCACATCCCGTCCTGCACTAGAGCCGTTACTCATTTTTCTCAGAACCGAAATTTGGAAAATTCGTGGGATCCAAGTGGAGGGAGTGAGCCCCTCCGAAGAAAAAGCCGAGGATGAAACTCGAAAAGTCCCACAGAATAATAGAAGTGAAACGAAAAAATCCTTCGAGACAACCCTCACCACTCTCACGCTTTCAGTTCCAGGTATAGAGTCCTTGGGGCCTCAGGTGGAAGGGAAAAAAAAAACAAGGACACGAGATTCAAAAGAGATGCAGGCCGGAGAGAAACGGCTCCCAGTGCTCTGCTTCGTTTCGAGTTTAGAAGAAAAAATAAATAAAATGGTTGACGAGTGGGGGAGGGAGTTAACCTGTACAATATCTCTCTTCTTTTATCTTATTTGCTCTTCGTCAGTTACGCGGTGGGTCTTCTCAAGGCTGTGTCAGGTGAACACGAGCCGATCTTTCGTCGTCATTCAGAAAAATAAAACGTTTCATTGGAAATTCGTGGAAACCTCATTTTTCAATGAGCGAGAATGCTCAGGGGGGATTAAAAATATTTTAATTGGAGAGTCCCGGACATTTCCGCTTACAAACACTAGTTGGGAGTCCGTTTTGCCCCGTTAGTGACTGAGAGAGCGGGAAAAAACGATTTTCGGTGAAAAATAAAAATTTGAATATCTCGAGAACTGCTTGAGATAACGAAGTCGTCGTGCTGTTTTTGGAAACGGAAACTTTAAGGTCTATTTGGAGACAATACCCCCCAAAAGTTAGTTCGTATGGATTTCTGGAAACATTGTAAATTACTTAATTTATTGCATTCTCATAAGTTAAATTGGAAATTATTAAATTAATCCCACCGATTAAATATCGAAATTATGAATTATTTTATCAATCAATAATTGAGTTTAGAGAATTGACAATTAATTGGCTAATCGAAAATGCCTTTTAAGAAATTTAGAAACATCTGCCCAATAGTCAATTTAAAATCCCATATTTTCAATTATTCAATTTACAGTCCCATCTTTCAATTATTTCATAGTCAATTGAAAATTTAAATTATCAATTATTTTATAAATTTCAAATTTCAACCCAAATAGTACTTAAACTACTGATTGGTGCCGAAACTCTCAACTCTAAAATTTTACGAAAAATTCTCCGTATTCGAAATTGATCAATCCACCACGGATTCGTTTTTTGAGAATTAAAAGTGCTGATATCTCAAAAAATTTTCTTTATATCTCTCAATTTTTTTTTTTTAATTCCTTCAAATCATTTAAAATCGTTAAACTTACTCAAAAACTACTGACACACCTCTCCATTCATTTTTCCTCCAATAAATTTCCCCAAAACTCTTCAAATCCCCAAAAAAATGCACAAAATCCCATTAAGGTAGATCGCAAGACAGTTCCCCCCAAAAGTTTTCGACCTTCGAAAAAAAATCATCCAAAATTCCTCAACACCGATGTCCCTCGCGCGAAGAAGATGGTGAGTAGCATCAGGTGTGACGTAGTCGCCCCAGAGACACCATCTTAAACTCGCGGTGCCCCTTCCACCTGACTACCGACGCTGCCCCCCCCCCTCTAGCCCCCCTTCGCCGCTGGAACCGCCGCAAATCGTACCGTCTCCCTCGCACCTACACCACCGCAATTCAATCGTCGATGTTGAGAGGGTACGGGGCTTCTCCACAGTATCCTCTTTCCCCCGGTCTCGCCGGTGATTTCCCTACAGTTTAGTCAGAGATTCACCTGTGTGTGGCGCCCCACGCCAGGTTTTATTCCCACGTGTCACCTGTCGTGGGAAACCCACGACGAGTTCCTTCCCCTCTCAGTGCTTACACGTACAACCCCAAATGCATTGTACATTATGCACACCCACCTGATGCCTTCGTTTCTTTTTTTTCATGCTTTGCTGCTTCTTTCGGTGAAGCCCCCCCCCCCCCCCCCCCCCCCCCNGAAGCCCCCCCCCCCTCCACCGCCCCGTCGAGACTGTGATTCAACGGGAAACACGACACCCACGGGAACTTCCGATGTTTGTAAATCGCGCCTTCGGGGCGAGAAATTTAATTCTTTAATTTCTTGGAGACGTTGATCAATTGAAAATTACAGGGAATTCGATGATTTTCGTTTCTTATTTGATTTGAGCAATTAATTAATGAATAATTTATTTGATTCAAATGATAATTTTTTTCATTAGGAACATATGAAGATAGAAAACTTGGATAACTTGTGGGAATGCAATAAATTAATTATTGTTTAGAATTTGACTGATGTATAACTGAGTGAAAACAAAATTAATGTAAAATTTGATATCACAAGAGCTCACGCTCCTGATACATCAATGCTGATGTCTCCTCGGTCGTAGGTTAATTATTTAAATTTTATTTTTCTCCGGAATAGTTTTCCTTGAAATGGACTTAATTTATGATCCCTAAATGTCCGAAATGTCTAACAAGAGCTCCATACGCCCTGGTTAAACATCTAACAGACGCCGACTAAATTATAATTCAACTTTTTTAAACTTCCATTGAATAATGAGTAAAGCTTGACGAAACCTTGGTTAAACGCTGATTAACCTGCGACTAAATGACGACTAAACCCTGACCAAACTCTAACTAAATCCCGACTAAACCCTAAACCCTGACTAAATCCTGACTAAACTTCGACTAAATCCTGACTAAACTTTGACTAAACCCTGGCTAAACTCCGATTAAATCCCTACTAAATCCTGACTAAACCCTGGCTAAACTTCAACTAAATCTCGACTAAACCCTAAATCCTGACTAAACTTTGACTAAACCCTGGCTAAACTCCGATTAAATCCCTACTAAATCCTGACTAAACCCTGGCTAAACTTCAACTAAATCTCGACTAAACCCTAAATCCTGACTAAACTTTGACTAAACCCTGGCTAAACTCCGATTAAATCCCTACTAAATCCTGACTAAACCCTGGCTAAACTTCAACTAAATCTCGACTAAACCCTAAATCCTGACTAAACTTTGACTAAACCCTGGCTAAACTCCGATTAAATCCCTACTAAATCCTGACTAAACCCTGGCTAAACTTCAACTAAATCTCGACTAAACCCTAAATCCTGACTAAACTTTGACTAAACCCTGGCTAAACTCCGATTAAATCCCTACTAAATCCTGACTAAACCCTGGCTAAACTTCAACTAAATCTCGACTAAACCCTAAATCCTGACTAAACTTTGACTAAACCCTGGCTAAACTCCGATTAAATCCCTACTAAATCCTGACTAAACCCTGGCTAAACTTCAACTAAATCTCGACTAAACCCTAAACCCTGACTAAATCCTCACTAAACTTCGATTAAATCCTGACTAAACTTTGACTAAACCCTGGCTAAACTCCGATTAAATCCCTACTAAACTCTGACTAAACCCTGGCTAAACTCCAACTAAATCCCGACTAAACCCTGACTAAACTTCGACTAAATCCTGACTAAACTTTGACTAAACCCTGGCTAAACTCCAACTAAATCCCTACTAAACCCCAACTAAACCCCTATCAAACCATGATTAAACCTCGATTAAATGCTCTTTAAGTAACAGCAGCATCAAGAAAATAAAGTATTCTATTCCAGTCCTCATCCCCGCAAAAAAAAATGGAAATTTCAGATTTGACAGATACAACGCTTTCATTCGAAAGCAAACAATGAAAAAACAATAAAAAAAACAATAATAACAATAAAAAATGATAATCACAATAAAAACAAGAATAGCAATAAAATCACTAAAAACAATAGAAAACAATGAAAAAACTTTTTTTTAACTCACTTGAGAAAGTAAACCTGTCCCTCAGGTGTGCGTGCCTGTTCCCAGCCATGTGGCAGTGGTCCCAGATCGTCAACCGTGCTAATAACATCGTAACTCCTCTGCTTCTGGTGGTGCACATGTCTCGCATGTGGCTGTGGTGCATGCTGTGTCGCCTGTTGTGCAGCAGCATAAGTCTGCTGCAACGATGCTGGACTACTGTGTGCCCTCGGATGTGCAACAGTGAGTCCCGCTGGTACACTAGTCTGATTGGCTGTGCTATTGCCATTACTATTGCCACTCGGTGTTGTATTACCCGGCCCACTGTTGCTTATTATCGTGCCAAATGCCGAGTCCGCTGAATTTTCACGCGAGTGCGATATCGATGGGCTCTTACTTCCGGTTGACGGTGGATTGAAAAATGAATCGGGCAGATTGCGCATGCGAAGTGGCACCTGAAGTGGACGCTTTGAGTCAGGCTTCAAAACACTGTCGAAGAGGGCCTGAAGATCAGACTCCGAGTTCTGGTCAATTCTGACCACTAAATTGCCCTTCGACAGCTGATCAACGTCCGGATTCAGCGCCATTTTATCTATTTTTATTGCTCCTCGATTGTTTCCGCCAATTAATTATGTTCAATTAATTTTTGCCAATTGGGGGGGAGCGGGGGTTGAAAAACGCTCTTCAGTCGCGATAATGGCCCCCGAAAAAATCATGAATCATCGAATTTGGCGAACGTTTACCCCCGGGCACTTCCGAAATTCTCAGGTCTACTCGACTCGTAATTTACGTTTTGCGATCGTACTTACTGTACACCGGGCACTCACTCGTATTGTATCATGTGGTACGTAAATATACGTACCTCTGCGACTCTACAGTCTTACCCACTCTCTCAATTCCCCTCGTTTTTACAATAAATAAACCCGTCTCGGTTGCACCCGCTGGCATCCGGCACTCGGTGTCTCGCCTGCAGACTGGTCTTCACTGTCTCACTCTTAATTTTTTTTTTTCCAACTGGTGGTGCTGCCCAGTCGCGTCACTATCCCCACGGTACACCTCCCGCAGCTCTTTTATCGGTCTCTTCCCCCCCGTATTTTCCTTTTGTTTGGGCTTTTCCGAGTTTGTTAGGTCGATTTTACGTCTTCACCCCCGGGGATTGGCCGATCAAATCAGTTGTGCTCGATTAATTGGTTTGTCGGCGCGATGGGATTGGGTTTAAAAATTTTAGCACAAGGTTTAGGCACTTTTTTTAAACGCCGGGCACTTCGGGGCCACTTCAACGATTTTTCCGACTTATTTGGGAATTTTATTTTGCTGTTAGCAGTGGTATTTTGTCTCCCCCACCATTGCAACCGAGTGTGCACGGTTTTCCGGGTCTTGCAGCACACCTCGTAGTTATGATACCACTTCGAAATGTTAGAGTAGGGGGGGAGCCAGGGGGAGGGGGGCGGCTTATTTTCTCTCCCCCCACTTCAAGTTATTATACGTGTCAACCACTTTCGAGAACCACTCCTCGGGGTGCGACGATAATTCACTGATTTTTCACGTTAGCAGTCATCACTCGCCCGCATTTGTCGGATTTTTTTAAAACTCCGGGGTCTTGGGCGCGTACCCGACTGCCGAGAGAGGCCGGACGTTGAGAAAAAAAAAAAAAAAAACTCACTTCGTAGAAGTCCGGAGAACGGGCGGAGAGAAGAGCCTCCGCTGCCACTTTATTTTATTTTCTCTCGTCGATTGAAATGACTCTTCATTCGGCATTCGTTCACTCGTTTAGAATTGTTTAGTTGATTTTTTTTTTAATCGACGACTCGCGGGGGCTGTTAAACCGCCGGTGGATTTTTTTGCGGGAGTTGTGAGACAGACACTTGGGCTGGACGGAGAGTTGATGAGGAAAGACAAGCGGGACTGTTGCCGGAGTGGGCTCCCTAATACCACGCAGGCACCCAAGGCACCGAGCAAGCCACTGGCGGCGATCGGCAAGACGGCTTAACCACACCGCACCGCTCTTCGGCTCTTGCCCGTAGTTGTACCGCACGGTTCTTAATCCCCCCTTTCGCGCCACTCCCCCCT